CGTCGTCGTCGTCGTCGTCTGCTTTAAACGTTTTCATTTTCGTTTAATTATTATTATTATTATTTTTTTACTCAGATGTTTTTCGTACGAAAATTTTTTTTATTTTCTTTTATACTTCCTCATTTGATTTTATTTCGTTTGTTTGTTTGTTTTTAAAGCGATTTACTGAAAAAAAAAATTTTTGCGGACCGTCCGACATTTTGTTTTGTTTTTTTTTTTGTTACTTTCTCTAATCCTATCATCGCATAATCCTTATTATATTGGATTACCTCGTTTTCGTGTAAGTTCACGTTCGGTTATGCTTTTCCAAGTTTTCCTTTTTTTTTTTTTTTTGCGTCGGTATAACTTTTGCTAAAAAAAAAAACAAAAAGTTTTCATCTCTCTCTCTATCCACCATTTTTCTTCTTCTCCACGGAATTTTACAAGTTAGTTTTTAAAAAGTTTTTAATTGAATTTATTTTGACGCCATGTTTGTTTTTCCAACTTTTTCCAACTTTTATTTATTTTAAATAGTTTTTGTCGAAGAGTTCTTTAAAAAAAAAAAAAAAAAAAAAAAGGTATATTTTTAAAGTTGGTACCGGTCAAACCGCAAATAATTATTTATTATTATTATCATCATCATCATCATCATCATCGCCATCCGGTCTGTTTAGTTTCACGGATTGATTTCGTTCGTAAGACCGGAAATGTTTTCTTTGAAAAATCAACGCAAAAAAAAAAAAAAAAGTTTTTCGAATGACGATTAAGGCGCGTAAAATATAAAATTTCAAAATGGCGGCGACACGGCGATATCAAACATTGTAATCGGCGTCAAATTTTTTTTTTTTTTAAATTTCAACTTTTGTGACCTTTAATGACCCGACTCAAAATCAGGTTTAAGCCGATTTTTTTTTTTTATATATATTTTTATTTTCATTAAAAATTTTTTATGCTATGCAAAAAAAAAAAAAAAACTCGTTTTTGCCTTTTTGGTGTTTATTATTATTATTATTATCATTATTATTATTATTATTATTAATGCCGGTACTCGTTGGTATCTACCCGTTCGGTTGGTTTTTTTTTTTTTTTTTTTTTTTGATTTCTTTTTTTTTAAATAATCCCCGTCGGTTTGATTTGATTTGGAAAAAAAAAAAAATGAAAAGAATTTCAAGTTTTTAAATTTTTTTAAAATAAAGATGGCGGTATCGATCGTGGCAATAGATAGATAGAAAGAGAGAGAGACAATTGCAAATCATCATTATTTTTTGCATTTTGCATTCTTCTCGTTTTCGCACGCCTTAATTTTTTTTTTTTTTTTTTTTTAGCTTTAGGGTTATTGTTAATAATTTTATTATTATTATTATTATTATTATTTCAAGGACCCCCCTTTTACTTTGTGTTACGTGTTTATATACTCTATGATTTTACGTTAACGAATTTATAATTAAAAAAAAAAATTTTTATTAATCGTTTCTCTCGCGTGGGCGGGGATACACATCGAATTGTTTTGATCTTTATTTTTCGAAAAGTGTGAAAAATTTGGCATTGTTCTTATTGGAAAAATTCCTCTTATCTTTCTCTCTTTTTCTATCTCTTTCTATCTCTCTCTCTCTCTCTTTCTCTCTCTCTCTCTCTCTTTCTCTCTCTCTCTCTCTCTCTCTCTCTCTCTCTCTCTCTCTCTCTAAAAAAACATTTTCGGTTTTCATCAGCCTCGAGCTAAAAAGAAAAGAAAAAAAAATTTTTTGGCGTTGATGAATTCATCGTGTCCCGACCATTTTCTTTTATTTTTTTTATACGCGTAATGTTTACCTTATCTGTTACCTCTTCATACCGTTCACGACATCCGTTTCCGTTTTTCCCATTTTTACTTCCGGTATTGCGGAAAAAATAGATTTTTCTTGATTATTACAAAAAAAAAAAAAGGAAAAAGTTGAGAATGAATGTCATGGCGAACTGGTTGGCGGCGGCATGAGATCCCACAATAAATCGAAAGGGATTTTCAAATATGAAAATAAATCGTATCGAATTTATTAAAATAATAATATTCTATTTCGATATATCGAACGAGCGGAACAGGGGGAAAAAAAAAACTTTTTTTTTTTAATTCGATGTTAAAAGAGACGAAAAAGAAATAAAAAACGTCTGAAAAAAATTTTTTTTTTGTTTACATTGACGAAAGTTCTAGAACAAATAAATAAAAGTTTTTTTATTTTCTTTTCTTTTCTTTTCTACTACCACGACGAACGGAGAACAGCTCCTATGAAAGTTTCGTGCAATCAATATATTGTTGTTAATAATCCGCCTTGAATTGAGAGGGAAATCATTTCGCGGATGTGGTTCAGAAACAAAAAAAAGAAAATTTGAAATTTTTTTTTTTAATCGTTGAGCGTTTGTGAACGGTAGCAAAAAGGGAAGGGGGGGAAATTTTGCTTTTTGCTGCTTTTTGAATTTTTTCGGCGTGACGAAATCGATTTGACGCTTTTGAAAATTGTTTTGGCTTGTAAAAAAAAAAAACTGTTTGTACTTTTTAATTTTTATCTTTTTTAATTTGTTATTATTATTATTATTATAATTATTATTGTTGTTGTTGTTGTTATTGTTTTTGTTGTTGTTGTTGCTCAATCGTTTGTTGTTGTTTTCCGAACGTCATCTGTGTTTTTTTTCTTCCTAATTCCTTTCACGCAGTCTCTCTCTCTCTCTCTCTCTCTCTTCCCCTGATTTATTTACTCTATTGTTTCTCTTTCTCTCTCTCTCTCTCTCTCTCTCTCACTCTTTCAACGATTGCCATTTCGTTGTTAGGCATGCATTACGTTTTTGTCTTGTTAAAAATTATTTTATTGTAATTCCGGTTAAATATTTTATGGGGCATAACAAAGAAAAGCAAACAGTGGGAATGGAAAAGGAGAGGAGACAGGAAATGGGGGTGGAAAGATTATAAAGAAAGAGAAAAAGAAAGAAAGAAAGAAAAATTGTATCCTGTTGTAACTTATCAAACGTTTTTGAAAGAAAATAAAAATAAAAATAAAAATAGAAATAAATAAATGGCAACGTTGACAAAAACATTTTTTTTTTTTTTTTTTTGCGGATTTTAAAATCCGATTTTAAATCACCGATTCGAATCGATAAATCGATAAATCGATTCGAGAAAAAAAAAACGTGTCGTAAAAATATCAGGGATAAAGATAAAAAAAAGAAAAAATTTTTTTCTCTTTTTTTTCAATTCATTCGTACGCGCATTTTTGTCGTCACAATGTCGGTCCCTTACAACAACAAAAAAAAAAAAAAATTGTTTTTTATTATTTGCAATAAAAACAAACGGTGGGGGAGGGGGAGGGAGGGGGAGGGAAGGAAAACAAGAAAAGTAAAGATGAAGACGTGGAATTGGCGATTATCCAGTTTGCAAAGAAAAAATATTCTACGAGGGGCGTGGTGGAGGGCGACCCGGCGCGAAGGGGGGAGTTTAAAGTGAAGAAAGGCGGATAAAAATAAATGAAAACTAAAATTAAATTGAATATTTTAATTTAAAAAAAAAAAAGATTTAAGACGTTGACGTGACAATTTTTCCGGGAGAAAAACGAGAGAGAGAAAGGGAGAGAAGGAAAAGAAAGAAAGAGAGAGAGAGAGAGAGAGAGAGAAAATGAGAGCGAACGCAAGCGTCCGGAAATTAAAATTAAAATAAAAGAAAAAAAAAAATTTTTTTTTATTTTTATTTTTGTCTCGTTTGTCCTTTGGCAGGTCTTTTCATTCAAATCATTATTATTATTATTATTATTTATTTATTTAATGATTTTTTTTTTAAAAAAAAAAGTTTATATAAAATAATTTATAATTTCGTGGAAGCAGAATCACGATGAAAAATGTTTAGAAATAAAAAAAAAAAAAAAAAAAAAAAAAGGTAAAAACCCAATTAACGAATTCGTGATTGAAATATTATTTCAGGCATGAAAATTTTTGCCGTTGACATTTTTTATTTTCTCTCTCTCTCTCTCTCTCTCTCTCTCTTTGATTTTTGTGACCTTCAATTTTTAGAATGACGTAATAAATTTCTTTCTCTCTCTCTTTCTCTCTTTTATTTAACTGACATTCGTTAACAATGAATTATTAGTTCGTACGAGAGAAATTAGGGGGTGGAGGAAGATGGGGTTGCGAAGTAGGGAGGGAGGGAGAATAGTTGTTTCTGATCTAATAATATAACGTCACCCGAAACGTGACAATAGAAAAAAAAAGAAATTTGCGACTCGATGCCAACATTCGCATCAGCAGTCGAAATTTTGACGATTCGGTATGCGCGACAGATTCGATTTTTGTCGTGACGCTAGAAACTTTGTTTTTTCTTAAAATGGTTTTAAATCGAAGTAAGATTGAATCGTCGTGAAGTAAGTTTTGTTGACCTGATGCGTGATCGTGTGTAATTTAGTATCATTATCATCATTATCATTATTATTATTTTACGTAATAAATCGTCAAGGGGCTCGACGAGGAAGAATTCGAATTTTTTTTTTTTTTTTGCGATGACGGTCGCGTCATTTTTATTCGTCGCGACGTGCGAACTTTTTTGCTTGTCACTTTTTCCAACGTCATTTTAAACGTGTCACCAATTTTGAATTTTTTTTTTTTTTTGTTTGAGTTAAGTATTTATAAATTTTCACGATGTTTAAATTGAATGTTGAATTAGATTTTTGATAGAAATTTTTTTTTTTTTTAACGATTGGGTGATGACGAAAGTGGTGACAACGCGGTCATCAATCTCGCGATTCACATCTGTCATCGTGTTTTGCGACATTTTGTTAAAAAAAGAGAGCGATTTCTCTCTATCTCTTTCTATTTTTTTTGTCGCCTCATTTCATCGCACTCTACTCCGATGCAAAAAAAAAAAAAAATTATAAATTATGGCGAACGGTTAATTGTTCGCGTGGGAATTTGGCGATATGCCCCCCGTGAAAATATTTTTTTTCTCTCTCTCTCTCTCTCTCTTTCTCTCTCTCTCTCATTTCATTACTCCGGAACGTTTTGATTGAATCGAAAAATGCATTTTGAAAATTGTTACAAAATGTTTTTTTTTTTTTTTTTACGCTTCATTGATATTCAATTTTTTTTTTTTTTATAAACGTTTCAATCTGTTTGTGTTTTATATTCGTCGTGTCTTTTTTTATTTATAAACTATCTTTCTCTCTCTCTCCCACACTCTCTCTCTTTCTCTGTCATTCACGCGAGCTGTTTTTTTTTTTTTTGTAATGCAAAATAATAATAATAATAATCGAAAAAGAGAAAAAAAAATATTCACGGAAATTTAAATTTTCTCAATTTTTATTTCGAGAAAAAAAAAAAATCGTGTCAATAGTCAAAAAAAAAAAAATTATCGTCGTGATCATCATCATCGTAACAGTTCGTAACGCATCGTTAATTTTTTTTTTTTAATTTTTACGCGCGCGATTATGATGATAATGATGATGATGGGGGGAGAGTGAGAGGGAAAAAATTTTATGAAAATCTTTCATTCGATTTTTGCTGTCGTCGATCGAATTATTTGTTGCGAGTCGTTTGTTGTTTGTTTTCGTTTGCTTTAAGAAACAAAAAAAAAAAAAAAAAATACAAACAGAAAAAGGAACGTAAAAGGAAAAAAAAGGGCGGCGGGGGGGTTTCATTTACCGTTCAACGAACCTGTTTTTAAAAAGAGGGTAAAATGAAAAGAAAAAAAAAATCAAAAAAAAATTTAAAGGAAAAAAGAAAAAAAACGATTCATTGTAGAGAGAGAGAGAGAGAAAGAAAGAGAGAGAGAGAGAGAGAGAGAGAGAGAGAGAGAGAGAGAGAGAGGAATGAACGGCATCGAACAAAAGTTTTTCCTTGAGGTGATCAATTTTCTCATAACAAAGAATAAAAAAAAAAAAAAAAAAAATATCAAATTTCTGTTTTTTTTTTTTTCATTCTACGTTACATTTAAAAAAAAAATTAATTTTCAATTTAATTTAAATTTAATTTTGATTTAATTTAATTTTTTTTCTTTTTTTCTTTCTTTCTTTCTTATTATTCTTTTATTATTATGTTTGTATCGCTGGGAAATGGAGTGGAGCGGGCGGGGGGAAGAAGGGCGGAAAGAAAAAGAGAAGAATTGAAAAAATGTTTGAAATCGAATTCCAGTTTTTATTACAATACTTTTATTATTATTATCATTGTTACTTGTCGAGGGGGAAAATGTTTCCCGGAAAAAGGAAAATGGTAGGTTGTAGGGTATCCTGGAGAAAATTTTAAAACGTCACCGACGTCGCCGATCATCTTAATTTTGGTTTTTAAAAAAAAAAATTGAGACTTTGAGAGTGTGTGTGTGCGTGTGGGAATTCACGGATTCAGGAGCAGAAGACAGGTGCACTCAACTTTTAATCATAAAAGAATTTTTATTTGAAAGAGTGAGAGAGAGAGAGAGGGTGTGCGTAAAAGGAAACAGCTGATGCGTACGTAGGCAAACACACGCATTTTATATATATTGGAGTTTATTATTTTACATAACAAAGGTTTTAACCACCCTTGAGAGAGAGGGTAAAAATTGAAGGTTGAAGAAGGGTTGAAGGGTTGAATAATAAGGAAGATTGTAGTTGTTGTTATTGGCGTGACGATTTCAATGTCGAAAATTTTGTTTGTTTGTTCGAAGAAGGAAAAAAATTTTCTTTTTTTTGTGTTTTTTTTTTGTCCATCGCAGTTTTCCATTTGAAAAAGTACAAAATGCGGGAAATTTGTGTAGTCGAGTCGTAAACGTGACGGGATGAAATGAACCGGAAATAATAAAAATATTTAAAAAATATCACGT